GACTACCTTAAGTTCATTAATTCACATCTATGCAACAAACTTTTTTGAAGATTTTTTTTATGGAGACCTTGTTTTAAAGCCTTTATTGAATTTGTTGCAATATTGCTTGTTTTGTTTTGGTTTTTTTGGCCATGAGACATGTGGGGTCTTAGCTCCCTAACCAGAGATAGAACCCATACCCTCTGCATTGGAAGGTGAAGTCTTATCCACTGGACCACCAGGGAAGTCCCTCAACAAACTTTTGAGTGTTTACTTATATGATTCTAGGCACCCGGTGTGAATCAGCAAATGAGACACATAAAGGTCAAAGCTGGCAGTCTTATCTAAACTGGCAGACTTCAACAGGAATATCAGGTACTGTTCACCATTAAATATCAATTGGGGGTTGGCTAACGTAAAGATTTTATTGAAATATCCTTCTATTAATACTTACTCATTTTTGCCTTTTTAAACAAGAATACAAATTTTTTCAAAAGCCTTATTTTTTTTTGCATTGAACTACTAAAATTTTCTATTAGCATATTTCCATACATCAATCCAGTACCAAATTTCTTAACTCTACCCTATCATGGTGGATTTTTAAATTACTGTTGAATTCAGTAATGTGGCATTTTATTTAGGATTTCTAAATGTGCATTTTTGGAGTTGTTTTTTTTTTTTTTTTTTTTTTTTTTTGCACATGTGTTTTCATCCCATGCTAACGTACAGACAGGGTATTTGGCTTCTCTGATCAACTTGGCTTAGCTCGTGGTGAAATATGTCCACCCTAGGACTGCCACATCTACACATCCAGTTCTCCTCACCTGCAGATACTGGCTGGCTGGCTGCCTCTCAAATCAAATTCAGATACCTAGGTAGGAGAATCATATTCACTTAGGAATACCAGGTATCTATGACTATAGAACAAGAGTTTCGAAATCAGATCTGGGATATACACTCATCAGCCACCAGTGACATGGGTGGCTCAGGTGTGAAGTTCACTGAACACAAGCATGGTTCCTGGGGACTCAGCCCCAAGGGTCATATGGAGAGACATTAGTTTCCAGAGAAGAAAAATATTATAAACTTGGCAGGTATCCTAACTATACCTTTAATAGCATACTGTTGATAAGTAAAAGGAGATATTAT